CTCAATGCTCAAGTCAGGATTTGAGTATGGTTTAAAGCACTCGAACTCATACTCAAGTCCCTGCCATTAGGGTCGTATTTCCAGTGCTTTGGTTCCAGTGCAATCCTGACTTGAGCATTGAGTAGAGTTCTAGAATACGACCCTTAGTTTGACACCCTTCGAGGTGAAAATCGGTTAACTTATTACGTTATATGAGTTATTGCGTAAGTGTGTGTGCCACGGGAGGCCTTATGGACCATATTGACATAGATTGGATGCCCCGAAAAGTTTGTTCCTATGATTCGACTTCTGCATGATGAAATGATCTGTTGTGTAACCGAAAACGGTAAGCAGTCAAGGTCCAATTTTGTAAGCTGCGGTGTCAAGCAGGGTTGTGTTCTAGCTCCAACCTTGTTCGCACTGTACTTAACAGTTGTGGTCGGAGAAGTTCTAGAAAACTCTTCTTGTGGCATAGGTATACGCTTCCGGGCAGACGGCATCTTTTTCGACATGAGATTTTTTGTATTTTTTGTACCCAATGCGGGTTGGGGCTTGACCCATTTTTCAAGGGTTGCAAACCTTCTTCAACCAGCAGGCATCATCACAAAATACTAAATAAACAAAATGTAAGTTAGAAATTAGAATCGTAAATACAAACTGCTACAATAATGCATTTTTTGCATTGCATGCATGACGCTGCATATTATTAAGTCAAGGTTCAACTAACCTTGGCCTTGTTGTAATTTCCGTGCACTGTATTAATTTTTTTACGGTATGAGACTTAGACATAATAGAGAGCAATTGGAAGGCATTTGTAATGTGGTGCTGGAGAAGAATGGAGGGATCAGTTTGATGGAAAGGAAAGCGATAACTCACACACTCGTAGCCCCGCACTATATAGCGAAAGTAGTGCACAGGACACACACATAGACACCCAAACTCATGCAGCAATAAATATAGTCTATACAAATATTTCTTCCGGCCCGGGAATCGAACAAAGAAACTCTGCGTGGCAGACCAGCATAGTAACATATTTTTCATAAATAATTAAAATCCTGACAATTTTGAAATTATTTACTCAAAAACTTCGCTGTGTTCGTTACTCACCGATAACTCGGCTGCTCCAAAGTAAAATTTAGTAAGGAACAACCATTGACTTACAAATAAATGGACGACGGGTCTAATATAAAAAACCACGAAAAAAATGTCCCAAGTCAACCTATTTAAACGTAGTGACATGTAAAAGAATATGAAAAAGCTAAAACGTTGAATTTAAATTGTAATGTCATCGCAGTACTGTCTAATTTTGCTTGCTTCGCTGTCAGTCGAACAAACGAAGACTAAAGCGTGAATGACGCTGTGTATACGATTTTAATATATAAGTAATATATAAGTTCCTATAAGTTCGAACACTTTTTAGCGCGGACCCGACGTCCATATAATTGTAAGTCAATGGGAACAACACTCTTTGATAATAGTTTTTTAACGGAATACTACTCCCATAGCAAGTCCTTACCTAATTGCGGTGACAGCCACTTAAAATTCCACAATGTATCAGATTCAATCTAGGACATGAGATAATATCAGATTTGGAATTAAAACTTCGTAAAGCACATCTAGTCGGGTTCGTGATCAGTCAAAAATCTAGTAAGTCACCTCACCCAATTTAAAACGTAGCAAGAGTATTTGAGACATTTTTTTTTAATAACAAGTAACTGGACAGGCAAATCGTGCACCTTATGCTAAGCTACACGCCAGTCCATAACAGTGGCAGTGCCACTCAGAGCTTTAAACCGCAAAGATCTGAGGGGCACTGCCACTGCGCTAGTCACCCTGAGACGTAAGAAAAATTATAATATACTAACGGTGCCATCATTGTATATTCTAGAATCAGTATTATTTGTCAAAACAAACCCTAATCTGTACAACAAACTTATGGAAGTAAGACGTAGGAATAGAAGAGATAATGATGCAGTATCTATGATGCCACATAAAACTGAATTTATGTCAAAAAGTGTGCTCTGTATGCTGCCAAGATTATATAATAGAGTCCCAAAATCTATCCGTGAATTACATGTAGATTTGTTTAAGAATAAATGTAAGCAGTATTTATTTGATAAATGTTTTTATAATAATAGGGGTTTAAATATGAAATTGCCGATTTATTTTACTGGCCACTTTAAATTAAAATTAAACATGTATGGTGTCCAATTTCAGAGTGAAACGTTTTTCACACGAAAAGTAAAACATGCTTAACTTAAAAAACATGATATTTGATTGTTCGACTTTCAATTGTTTTTACATTCAGCTTTTAACGTGAAGACAGATACAGCGAAAATCTGAGTACCTAATTTTCGAATACGAATTTCCACATGGAGTTAACGTAGCAGAAATTGTCAATGCTGTATTTGGAGAGGATACGGCATACGCAAATACGGCAAACGCCGGCAATACGGTAAATTACGACTTGAAGAAAGAACCACGAGGAAGACCAGTCACAAATGTAAATAACGTTGAATTGAAGGTAATGATGGAAGCCGATCCGTATCAAACTACCACGAAACGTCATGGTTTAATGTTAGCATACCCACAATATGGCATATGGCGTTTGAATAATGACGACGGAACTCGCAGCAAAACAGCTTCACCGTTATTGCTCTATGATAACGCAACACCTCACACCCCTTGAGAAACAGTTTTACTACTACAAAACCTGCAGATATAAATTATCCATCATCCTACATATTCGTCGGACCTCGCCCCGACCGACTACCATTTTTTCCCGCAATTTGATTTTTTTTTGTATAGAAATAAAATTCCCAGGAAGCAGTACAAAAATCCCTTCACACAGCTGTGGAGTCCAGGTCTCCAGACTTCTATCGCAAAGGTTTAAATGACCTTCCGATTACATGGCAGAAATGTATAGACAACAAGGGAAAAAACTTTGATTAAACAAATATATTTAATCTTAAAAAAAATTGTTTTTTTCCATTTTCAGTGCGAAACGGCAATTTCATACTTTAACCCCTAATATAAATGATTATATGAATACGAGATGGATTTAGGGCAGAATTATAATTGTTTTTATATCTAGTAAGATTACATAAGATTACAGATGTTATACACAGATGTTATATTTGACTAATTTATGTTATTATTGACTTTCATTCATTTTTGACATGCACATATTTTATGGAGGCTTAGAAATGTAAATTATGTAAGTTTGACATTAACATGATTTTTCGCTTTATTTTTGACATTGTTAATTTTTACTAATTTTTATTATATTTTTTCTTTGCATGTTTACTAGTTTTTGACAGTTTTTAATCAGAATATTTTGTACATTATGCGACCACCACTAATTATATTTGTATGTTTCGACGAAACTGGTTGTAGTAGCACTGTTAATGTATTGAACTGATCTAATGAACTTATTGTACCTACTTCCACAAATAAATCGATCTTTATCTTTATATTTATCTAAGTTGACAAGTCTCATGTGCCTGTAACTTCACCAGCACCCTTTATCCTTTACAACCAGAACGCAGTAATGCGAGCTTTACTGCATATTTATGCCACAGGGATTCATATGAAAGTATTTTTTGTAATATATAGCAGTAGAGCTCTTTGTGAACGAGATCATCCAGAAAGCTACTGCCACCTTACATTTCTGCCGCCAAGCAGTAATATGAACATTACTGCATTCCTATTTGAAAGGGTAAGGGTGCTGGTGAAATTACAGGCAGATGAGAGTTTTCAACTTAACTCTCTCCTCTCTCTGAACGGTACTGCAACTGTTATGGACAGGCGTGTCGCTTACCACCAGGTGCACGACTTGTTCGTTCCGCCACTTTATCAAGAGATAGTATATAATACCTTAGAATAATAACGCATAGAAACCTAGTCCGCACACGCTAAGTGAGGCAAATTGAAGCGCGCCAAAAGGGCCTACACGAGCGGGCGGGCCTTCAGTGCTCAAGGTCAACTTGCACCGCGAACAGATCAAGAATTTTAGCTAAAAATGACGAAATGTGCGGTAAATGAGTGTAAAAATACGTCAGACAAACATAAAATAGATACTAACATCACATTCCACAAGGAAGTAACGCGTTTCAACTTGTATTTTTATATAAATATTCACTAAAACCGAAAATTAACCTACTACTAAAATTAGCCTATATGAATTTGATTTTTGCCTCACTTGTGAAAGTGCGTTTGATATGAAAGTATCATTCTATGCCATTGACTTACAATTATATGGACGTCGGGTCCGCGCTAAAAAGTGTCCGCACTTGTAAGGCGCTAAAATCGTATACAGAGCGCGACACTCCGCTTTAGTCTTCATTTGTTCTACGGACAGCGCGATACTGCGATGACATAACAATTTAAATTTCGAATAGGTTGACTTGGGACATTTTTTTCATGGTTTTTGTATTACACCCGTCGTCCATTTATTTGTAAGTCAATGTTCTATGCGTTATTATTCTAAGTATAATACCTCATAACAAAATATCTCAGGGTGATAGACGACGCAGACTTTCACAAGGGTTCAAATTTGTAAACTGAAATTTGCAAAGCAATTTAATAGACGTTCCCAAGCCGCATTGGGATTTATTTTTTCCATTCTCTAAGCATTGGGACCGTATGAGAAGAAACATTCATTCATTTACTCAAGAAACCTTCTATTATTATTAGTATTTTGCATTATATTGATTGCAATTAGGTATATTGTGATATAAAACGCTGATAAAGTAATTAGGTAAGTATAATGCAACGTTATCACTGTGTAACTATTATAAAACAACTTAACATAAAGTAATATTTGTTATGAAAAAGAAATGCCTACTGAGTAACATTTTTATTATCAAACAACAAAAATTTTGAAACTGGACGTATATAAAAGTCGGTTATTTACCATTACCGTCATAAAAAAAAACTCAAACGACGTATTGAGTTTCAAATTAAATTTTTAAGGAGTAATTAATTCTTTTGGTAAATATCTTCTTTTATTCGACTTCAAGATGGCGTCTAAAATTATTTTCGCATTAGGTTTTGTTGTAGCTGTTAGTTTAATTACGGTGAGTTTATGCAATAAGTTCATTATTTTTAAGTTAGTTTCCTCCTGCAGTAAAAATAAACTGTAAAAGTTTTAATTATAAAAGATAATTGCTTCCGACTTAAAGGTCATACTTACGGAGTAGACTTCTCTCTTAACAAGTAATTTTTATCGTTAAAAAAGAAATTTATTGCAAAACTTGCGAAAAAAATCGCTTAAATATGACAGTTGTTTGTTTTAATGACTACATTGTTTTTCCACCTTTTTGTCTTCCGGGTTCGATTCCCGGGCCAGGGGAAATATTTGTATGGCCTACAGTTATTTATCTCGTGAGTTTTTTTGTATTTGTGGTTGTCTATCTTTGTGTCCATGGCACCCGCGACGCAGGGTTTCCCTAGTGTAGGGCTCCTGGCCACTTTTTTAAATTTTGAATTGTTCTTGAAGTCACATTTTCTTCTCTATTCCTACATTTGTTCGATTCTTGGTCACTCCCATAAAAAAACTTCGAACGAACGTACGTGACCACAAATCACAAGTCACCTTTATATCCATATTGTTAAAATTCACATCGATTACTATTACAATTGTATAGATAGATATACAAGTACTTTTGGGTCTTCTTTTTTCTCTTTTATCATCTCTGACAACAATTCTTGTGGATAGGTCCTTCTGCGTTCTCATTTCACAATAGCCACATCTTTAATGTTTTTGCCGGCTCTGGGTACTTTGCCCTTTTGAGCCAAATATCAATAAGACGTGGGAAGGAGGATATCCTCATGGATACCATAGGTCCAGACAAGATGGTACGCGCGATTTTAAAAGGAAGTTTTGTACCTTAGACTAACTAAAACCTCCTCTCCTTTTTGTACCTGCTGTTTTTGGTCTTCCGGCACTCTTTAATCTGTTATTTTCTGTTATTACTTAATATGTTGTGATTGTTTTGTTTAGTTAACAATAAGCATATTCATGACTTAAATATTTACACAGGACGGTTTGCAAGATTTTTAAGGACGTAAATACGAATAAGTTTGAAAAATAACATCAGCTTTTCCATATATTACATTTATACAAACTTGACCTAGAAGACGACGCAATAAGAACTGCTTTTGTTTGTTAAAAACGTTGTGAGATCTATTTAGTCTCTAGTAGCAGTAGAGCTCCTTGTGAAAGAGTTCGCCTAGATAAGTACTGCCACCTTACCTATGTCTGCCGCCAAGCAGTAATGCGAGCATTACTGCATTCTAGTTGTAAAGGGTGCTCGTGAATTACAGACACATGGAATTTGGCAACTTATGTTTCAGGGTGGCGGGCACAGTAGCATTGCCCCCCAGATCTTTGGGGCTTAAAGCTCTGAGCGCACGGCAAATGATATGGACAGACGTGGGATACTGTCGCGCGACTTATTCTTCCTATCACTTGATATTATAACGGAAAGACCCAGATCTTACAAACGTTTCTAAACGCTTGTTGCAGTGTTTTGTTTTTGGTTTTTAATGATTTCCATTTTTTTGTTTATCGTAACCGATTTTTTGTTACAAGAAACAGAAGTAAATCTTATACCGCCGCAATATGGTCGATTTTTTTGGGGAATAATGTAAACTTGTTGAACTCTTCCATGCATTTTTCTTCCGTTATAAAATCAACTGTAAAGTACATTTATTTACAGTATTCGTTATTGCATAAAACAATAAGTACAAGCACAAGTTTTTTGCCACCTTTGGGATGGCTCTGCTACATACCACTGCACTGGCCACTTTGGACTCAATTGACAACCGTGTCAAGAGGCTTGTAGGTGACTCGGAATTAGTAGAGGCGAAGCTGCAGAGCCTTGAACACCGCCGTAAACTTGCCTGCTTATCGGTATTTTACAGGATATATCACGAAGAGTGTGCGATGGAATTACACGATTTAATTCCGTTTTCCCCTTTCCATCGCCGGACTGGGCGTAGGCTTGGGTTCCACCTCTATGTTGTCGATATTCCAAAGATTCGCACGAAGCGGTACGCTTCCACATTTATGTGGTGAACGGCTATGGAGTGGAATTCCCTGCCTGCAGACTTGTTCCTTGAACGTTATAATTTGGGCCTGTTGTGAATAGGCATTATTTAGGCGTGCATGCTCCATCGTCGACACTTTCCATCAGGTGAGATGGAGGTCAAATGCTAATTATATTTTATTTAAAAAAAAAGCATTTTTCTTTAAGTTATCTAATCAAAATATTTTTACCCATAGTCCCCAGTCCAGGCTTCGGGCAACGTGCAACTCCCTGCAGTGTACCCTCTGGTAAACATTCTCCTCCCGCTGTTGAACAACGTGTACAACCTCCTCCTGTCTCTGCTGTCCATCTTCGATACGCTACCATCTTCCATTAGCTGTCTGATTCCCGTCGATTTGGGAGCCTTGGAGACTTCTCTGCTTAAACTTTATTCTCAGGTAAGTTACGTACCAACTTTTTTAAAGAGTCGTGCGTGGTCGCGTTATTTGTAAAGAGAAACCAAAGGGAAATCTATCATCGTAGTATATGAGCGTCCGAAATGTCACGGGAATCATTTTATCTCTAGGTGTACAAACGATATTGGTGTTTTTTCGGATTCACCTCGGCCTAAATATACATAGCACATGAGACTTGTCAACTTAAGGCTGACGGGCGCAGTGGCAGTGCCCCTCAGATCTTTGCGATTTAAAGCTCTGAGTGGCACTGCAACTGTTATAGACAGGCGTGTATCTTACCATCAGGCGCACGACTTGTGAAATCGGTTAAAAGAAAGTGGGGGTGAAATCCAATAAATTGAATCCAATAAAATAACTGCCTCCGTGGCCGAACGGTTACCATGCCGGACTGCCATGCAGAGGTCCTGGGTTCGATTCCCAGGCCGGGAGAAATATGTGTATGGCCTACATTTATTTCTCTCCTGAGTTTGGGTGTAATTTGTGGTTGTCTATGTGTGTGTCCATGGCACCCGCGACACAGGGTTTCCTTAGTGCGGGGCTATGTTGAGTGTGTGCGTTATTAATAAGAATATTCGAAATCATACATAAAAAAATGCAATCAAATAGAGAACTTCATTTTTTTAAAGTTGGTTCAGAATATTGTTAATTAAACAGTGTAATTTCTTTTGCCAGGCTCTCGCTATAGTAAACTTCCTTCGTTCACTTCCTGAATATGCAGCTGGTGCCAACCCTAGCCAACCACCAACAGGCGTGGTCAACCTCCAAGGTCTTCTCACAACTCTCATCACATCAATCACAGACCTGGCTGAAGACGTTCTTTGTGGCATCGGTGGTGGTCTCCTACCAGGTCTACTCAAGCTGGTCGTCATGCTGGTGGAATGTTTGCTTAAGCTGTTACTTTAAAGACGATATTTGTGTAGCAAATGCCACTTGTTATTAAATTAAGTGGTATAAACAAATACAGTGCAGCTTTTCATTTTGTTCTTGAATATACAAGGGAGCTAACTAATCAGGCACTGACTACTTTTATAGCCAATTAATTACCTCATTATGATATTTTTCCAGAATAAAATGATAACTCATACTAAACCTGTTTTGAATAAAAAATACAAGGTATTTTCGTTAAAATTTCTTATCACTCTTTCCTACACGTCGAGCTGAAAATAGCCCTAACAAAATCTATTTGGCTATACGCTGTGAATGAAGCGTTTTTGCTACCCTTTACACCCCCTTTTAGAATATCTACTCCCTTGCGTATTTTCAAAGTCTATAACACTTGCAGTAATTGAGCGTATCTTTCTGTTTTTGCTATACATTACTATCAGGGGATTTGTATTGACAGCTAGCTATAGTCAGTTTAGCAAAATATAATGGCAATTAGACAACATCGGCGCATTGCTCATTAATTTAAGGAAGGAATTTTCAATCATGCAGAATTTTCATGTTATGTCACTCGCGTCACCATCTCTAATAATTATAATTGAATTCAGTTGTCATAGGATTTTTTAGTCGCTAGATGGCAGCACATTGATTGAAATTTCAATATAAAATCTAAATGTCGCAACTTACATTAATAGGAATATGGTATGCCGACTGAGTAAAATTTAAATTATATTCAAATTTGTAAGACTAACCTCGCCTTGCCGCTAGATGGCGTTGGGGTCAAAATAGAACGCGCTATCGAAGTGTTCACTAAATTACCATTTTATAAGCTGCTAAAAGAATTGCTTTGTATTAGACACGGAGAATAGCGTTACATTTTTATCGCCGTGAGTGTCGTTCCGGTTCCAAAAAAATCACAGTGATAAATCATCGTGATTTTGTCACGGCTGTTACTTCCGTGACCTTGTCACGCCTATAACTTACATCACGATATACGGTTTTAGCCAGCGGCTTCTTTCTAATACTAATAGCCGTTTTTTATAGAATGATTTAAGTTTTTACTCCCTTTGTAATAAGTTTCAATTCCATTCAAAAAGTTAATTTTGTATTTAATGTAATTTTGTTTGTTACTTATTTAATGCGAATCTTTGGATTGTTAAAAATAGCAATAAAGTGTAATGTAATTATATTTCTAGTAGAATACACAAAGTAGATTATACATAAATATAAAATACCATCTCATCCTATAAGAAAACAAATATACAAAAATATTTTACTTTGTTCATAAATAGGTTTATAATAACTGCTGCAGATTTTTTTCATCCGCCTATTCTAGTAGTAATAAGCACCTACGACCCTTGTGAGTGAGCAAAGAAAGTCATCCTATTTCATTCACTCCCATAGCCGAAATGGCCCAATTTGAAGAGAACTACAACCATTGGCGCGCTCAGTCACCACGGAACGGAGACCGCGCATTGTATCAAATACGTATGTCGTGATATGAGTGACGGGGAGAGCTATTGGAACGGAGGAACACCTATGTGACTTTGGAACGTCGTTCCTTCGGAACGAGTCACGGTGATACTGTTTGACGGCGGATCATCGTGATTTTTTCATCGTGACGTTATTTATCACCCACTTTTAAAACCGACTAGGCTATACACACACACACGCACATACCTGTGTCGATCGATCATTTTTGATAACCCGTGTTGATCATGACCCACGCGGAATGTGTTCAGGTCAAATGATTCGATCATATGTTCGGCATTAAAAGTGTCAAATTATACAATTAGCTTATAATCTTTCCAGCTGATGGGTAATGTGTATAAAGTTAAGCGTATCATTTATAAACCACACAAATGACACTAAAATTTATTTCCAGGAAAAGTAACACCCACAAAACAAAAATACTATGTACATGCGTTGTAGAATGCACCTAGTTCGCAAGCGATTACACTCCTAAACGACTTGCTCACTCAGAATCAGAATTTAGATATATTCTTTGACAAACAGTCGGGATACTTCTGTTCGTTTCGTTCGTTATATATATAAAATATCAAACTTCTTCCCCGCCGATTTAGCGAATAAACTAAGTACTCTCTATGTCTCGGTAATCAGTAGTCAACAATTTTAATAACGCGCCGTTATACATTTTTTCCTTTAAATATAGAAAAGTAAGTATGCCATCACAAATCCTAAAAACCAAGTGGCAACAGAAGTTTGTCAAGGCCGCACCGGTCATGTTTTACGACTAAATACGTAGCGTGCCTGCATCGTGAACGAGCATCGCAAAGTTAGGTGTCCAGTGCTGGTCATTTTGACCCACCACAGCCCCTAATAGGCCGATAAAACGTCGGTAATTTTGATCCAACGATTTGACTAATAATTTGTTTATCAGATTTTTGTAAAACAGATTGTCTAACGGCCTTGTATCGTATTCTTTACAATCTCTACCACACTTCAGAACAATAGTATCAGCCAATACGCCTACTCCACCCTCTGAATGACGTCATTCATTCAGCCTACCTCGTTCGATCCAAGGCCGCACCAGAGGACGTGACAGGGGTGGCCCGGCTAGTGTTGGTACAGGTTAGTAAATATGTCTCACTGCGACAAATTTTCTCAGGGCTTGGAAATGTAATTAATGTTATAAATTAATCCTTATACATAGGAGGTATTGTACGTTTCCGGAACTGGCCACTTACGTAAACAATATTTAAAAAGTAATAACAACATTTGAAAATGGAACTCTTTGACTGTAGAATACAGTTTGTTTCATCTGACTGTCGCTTGTTTTTAAATTGTGACGTCATTTTAGAAATTGGTTGTCTACATCACCATGGATTTCACACGTGAAAATTTTCGTAGAATGATTTTCTACGACGTTAAGTGTAATATAACAGCTCAGCGGAGTTTCACTCGGCTTCAAATTGCTTTTGGCGATAAAGCACATGCAAAACGACTATTTATAGCTGGTTTGCAGAATTCAAACGCGGGTGTGTGAATCTTAGAGATTAATTTCGTGATGGTCGCCCGTCCACTACTATGAACAACAAAAACATCGATGCTGTGTGCCGTATGATCAAAACAGAGAGACATGCGACATACCATGAGATTTTGGCATTTTAGGCATAGGCATGAGTCAAATACAATCAATATCACACAAGCATTTGGATGTGAAAAAGCTATGTTCTCGGTGAATCCCACACAATTTGACTGACGCTTAAAAAAACGGATCGCGTCACTTGGTGTAATACCATGCTTACCAGATTCAACGAACGGGCGGGTCAGATTTGGTGTGGAACATAGTAACAGCTGACGAAACATGGATTTATAGTTACGATCCCTAAACAAAGCAGCAATCGAGCGTCTTTCGAGATGAGCCGAAACCAACCAAAGTGGCGCGCGTGCAAAGTGCCTCTAAGCGGATGATTGCTTCTTTTTTTAATAAAACTGGTCACGTGCTTTGGAGAATCGTCGTACCGTAAATAGTGACTGGTACACGACCATTTGTTTGCCGGAAGTTATTGACAAACTCCGTAAAAATAACCGTAAACGCCGTATCGTCTTGCACCACGATAATGCCAGTTTTCACACGGCCAGACAGACAAATGAATTTTTGAAAGTGAACGACGTTGAACTTATGAGCCATCCCGCGTACACTACCGACCTGGCACTTTGTGACTTTTATTTATTTCCAAAAATTAAGAACCAGTTACGCTCTCAACGATTTTCATCACCTGAAGAGGCTGTCGAAGAGTATGAAAAATTTGTTTCAGAGATTGTCACGGAGGAGTGGCATAAATGTTTTCAAAATTGGTTCATTCGTATGAAAAAGTGCATTAACGCTAACGGAGAATATTTTGAGAAACAAGAAATTCATTTCTGTCCATTTATAGTATTTTTTCCTTATTCATTCCGGAAACTCATAGTCCGCCCCACGTGTTACAAGAACAACACAGAACAATGAATGGAGTACCACTGCCGTTAGTTAATAGGGAACTTATGCCAAAACTCAAAACCAAGTAAATAACGTTCACAGAAACGTTTAAATAACTTTTTTATAAAAATAAAACCAACCTCAAAAGTTCCCGGAATTACATTTTTTACATTATTCCCAGGATTCGCACGATGCGTTTCATTTATATGGCGAACGGCTTGAGAGTGGAATTTCCTGCCTGCGCACGTGTTCCCCGAACGCCTTGGGACCTTTTCAAGGCGAGAGTGATTAGGCATTATTTAAGTGTGCATGCTACATCGTCGACCTCATCATCACTTTACAGCAGGTGAGATGGAAGTCAAATGCGCATTTATTTTTAATAAAAAAAAATTTGAATTCGGTTACCGGAAATTGCGCGAAATCTGATTCATCTCCCGCTTTGCCACCCTTAGAGGCGGAATATTTTCTTCAAATTTAATTGGGACCAATACTGAGGTACACTCCTTCCAACAAAAAAAGAATCACCAAAACCCGTTCACAAATGCCAGAGTAAAAAATACTATAAAAAATACTTTTCTAACTTCACACTAGAAAAAAATTAAACTAGTGATAATTTGGACTTTTTTTACAGATCACGGCATTGTACATCGTAGTCGTTATGGACTATTTGCTCTTACGACCTATGGGACGACAAATTCTTGTATACGCGCTCCTATAAGGCGATTATTTGATAATTATAATGAGTCACTGTCGGAAGAAGACATTTTTGATCTATCTAAATTATCTATCACAATTAAGAAGGCAGTTACTGAAACATTGGGTATTGGGCATTAACTTACAATTATATGGACGTCGGGTACGCGCTAAAAAGTATCCGAACTTATAGGGCGTTAAAATCGTATACAGAGCGTCATTCACGCTTTAGTCTTCGTTTGTTCGACTGACAGCGAAGCAAGCAAGATTAGACAGTACTGCGATGACATTACAATTTAAATTCAACGTTTTAGCCTTTTCATATTCCTTTACATGTCACTACGTTTAAATAGGTTGACTTGGGACATTTTTTTCGTGGTTTTTGTATTAGACCCGTCGTCCATTTATTTGTAAGTCAATGACTTAGTAACATTATAATATTACATTCAGAGAATTTTCAACTGCCAAAAAAAGAAAAGTATTTTTCCGGATTTTCATGAATAAAAATAAATAAAACAAGCCGAGTCTTGATTGTCGCGTTGTGTATTCGGAACACGGACTTGT